GACATAGAAGAAAAAGAGAGAGATAAAGAGTTCCAGCTGTGACGAAAAGGAGTTGTCATCCTGAGATAACAGAAGAAGAGCTTGAAAGTGTTGCAGTTATTGAAAAGATCTGGAGCTCCGAGAATGGAGAAAGAGACTGCTTCTCCTCCTTGGACTGATATAAAGGGGGGAGAGGTATTTCTATAAATATATAATACTTTTACTTGACTAGAATTGTTGTAGATGTAGTTCTTTAGTTTTATTTTGCTAGTAAGAAATGTTCATATTATTTTCCCAAATCAAGTCTCTTTTGTCTGCGTAAACCTTCTCTCAACTTACAGTAATTGGGTGTGGGGTGAGAGCAAATTGAGCCAGAGCAAAACCACGACACAGAGTCCCAGTGTCCCCTTGATTCCCTGAGGTTTGGAAATGCCACCATAGCCCCTTGATTCTACCAGGTTCCACCCTGTCCCAAAATTGTGGGAGCCCTTGCAGTGTCACACTGGACCCTGTTTCTCCAGGGGAAGAGGGTCAGCACAAGACACACAGACACCAACTCTAAGGAACAAGGGTGTAATTTCTCTGCCCAAAGCCTGGCCAGGGCCTAAAGAGCAAACCAAGGGACTCAATGTGCACCATCCACTGCCAAACAAGGCCAGACATCGACTGCCATGGCCTTGACTGGGATCTAAACACGGAAAGATAAATACATTCATATTTCACACATTTCACTATCATGCATATTTTATTAATGAACAAATACGAATATTCCCCACTAGTGAGCAGATACAAAAATATCTTACACAGATACAGCCCTATCCCACTACAGATTTCACTGATGCTTATACACAGTTGTAGCTCCTGAGCGGATCTGTGGAGAAATAGAACGTTAAGCTGGAAGGTTCATCCAGAGCCAACTTTGGCTCAGGGGATGTTGTTCAGGCCTCAGTACTTCAACTGCAGAGCCCTGTGGAACCAAGGGGCCACTGTGACACTGTGGGGCCTCGTGGAACCAAAAGCACCCTGTGATCCTGTGGAACTTCATGGAGATAAAGGAACCCCAGGACACTGTGGAACCTCATGGAATCAAGGGGCCACTATGACATTGCAGGGCTTCTTGGAATCAAGGGGCCCTTGTGACACTGTGGAACCTCATGGAACCAAAGGAACCCACGGAAACTGTGGAACCTCCTGGGGTCATCAGGGGAACTGGGATGCTGTGGAACCTCATGGAATAAAAGGGTTTAATTGTGACACTGTGGGGACTCCTGGAACCAAAGGGACCCTGGACCTGTGACTGATGGACACTCGAGGACCATTATCCTGACTGAATCTGGACTCTGACGGGCACCAACACAGGATCAGTTCCCCATGGACATTTCCCACATTCTGAACTACTTTGTCATTGTATAAGTTTGTGATTTTAGTTTCTCTAATAACCTTGGATGTTCAAGTATATCCTCAGCAGAGAGAAAACTGGGTGTATGTCCAGATGTGAGAGAAGGAGCTGCTCAAGCAGAACTGGGAAGGACTTTTGTCTCCCAGCATGGCTGCGGAAGCTCTGGGAGGAGACTCCCAAATCCCCTGTGTGGGAATAAACCAGCTCCGGACACAGAGGAACCAACTGTCCTGGACAGTGCAGTGAACAATAAATCTGCTGCAGGTAAAGCTGCAACAGAATAAGAACCTCCAAAGTGAAAATCATGAAATGGTTTATCTTTTTATATTTATAGAACACTGTTTCTAGGATTGCAGCATGGTTATTTACCCCTGGATTAGCCAGCTGTCCTAACAGGGCCTTGCAACTAACAATGATAAAAGAAAGAAAAGAGACCAAAGTCCCTTTTCCCAAGGGCCACTCCAATAGAACACACCCAGAGCAAATGTCACCTGAGCCTTGGAAGAGAAGCTCACCCTGAAAGCCAACACAGCCTGTGACACTGAGAACAAACAGCAGGAACTGCTGGATTTGTTCTCCATTTCCCACTCATTCCAATGAAAGCGTTCAAATGATGGGACTTCCAACAGCAAACATATTGTCCAGTGGTCTCCCTCCAGTGGAGTGATGCTCCTTTGAGAAGGAAAAGCAGCCCAAACTGTCACACATCCACAAATGCTCTTCCTGATCCCTCCCCTGGGGTTAAGTGAGAGATCTGCCTGCTGTCTGCTGTGGTGGTTTATATCAATCTCTTCCTAATGCTTGTTTCTTTGGCTGGTTTTGATAGAATTGCTTTATTAGAATTGCTTTGATACAGTGCACTGTACTACTTTATGCTATATTAAACCCTACTAGTAGGTTTTTAGTCTTTTTACCCTGCGGTAAATCATTCTGATTAACATTTTTCATCTGTTTTCACTTGTCGGTTCATTTGTCATAATAAATAATTCACTTTATTTAAATACCTCTGATCTGCCATCATTAAAACCTGTGAGACAAAGTGATTTAATTACATCTCTGGATGTCCTTAAATTTAAACTGTTGACACAGCCCGAGGCTGAGATTGGATCCAGCCACACTCAGGCTCCTCTCTGAGAAGGAATTCAGAAAGCCAGGGGATCCTTTCTGTACCTTGTGACTCACCAGCAGTTGAGCTTCTTTAAAGGCTTTGTCTAAGCCTTCTGCTCCCACCCAGGACACCCCCACACTCACACCCCCCCCCGACCCTGCAGTCCAGTCACTCCGTTGCCAGCACTGCTGACATGGGGCTGTTTGATGCCCTGGTCCTCCTGCAGTTGCTGCACTCACACCCCCACGCTCACCAGCTCTTGCAGAGACAAATTGACTCACACAGGAGTTAGAAACGAAGTTTAATGAGAAGACAGAACAGACTGCACTGGTTGGGGTCCTCCCCTCAACTTCCCTCAAGCCCTGTGCTATCCAAAACTGCATCCCAGAATGTGTCCAACACTCCAAGGCAACAATCCCCCCAGTTCAAATGGTGATCTGCTCTCAGTGCCTTAGGGCTTTCAAA